ATGGGACGGACGTACCTCAGGATGGCCTAGGATAAAGACAGCTAGGACAGTGACCACGGGAAGCAGATGAAGCTGGCTTTTAGAGACACCTCTAAGGAAATGTCTGTGGGTAGAGTCTGCTTGAAAATACGTAAGAGAGAGAACTATACAATGACTCACAAAAGACAGGTCTTCAGGGCTTGATGTCATTTACTACCAGTGAATTATAACTTTGTAAACGCGTGTGTGTACATTTGCACACATACATAGAGGTGCTTATACATATGCTTACATATATGTATACATTTATATATATTTGATATTCATGCTCACTGTACATATATGTAAAGTATATATAAGGAAATATTATATACGATTTTAACATAGTATAGAATATCTATGTATAATTATTCTTATTTAATTATACGTGCTTTAAAAATTATTAGAGTATTTCGCTCCACGTATTAAAGACTTAGAAGTGACTTTGTGATCACTTTGCAACTGTGTTTGTCTTTTTCAGTTGTTAATGGATTGTGATCAGTTTTATTTTGTTCCTGATGAGAGATATTTTAAATTATGATTTTCAAAGAGGCCTAATAGCTAAAAACTAGTTTCAGCAAATTGGGTTTTATTTATTAGTTATTCGGTAACCAAATACGGTAGTAGTATGATTCTATCAATAATGTCTTCTAAAATTAGAGATTTGTGTTTTTGTCCTGACTATTCAACCAAAAAAAAAAAAAAAAGAGAGAGATAAATAACTTCATAGAAACCATTTAATTTCTTTTACTCTGATATTTATTAACAATAAAATATTTGAGCAAGAATGCTCTCTACTGCCCTTTTTAACTTTCAAATGCAGTGATTCTTTAATCGTACCGTTTATTGCCTACGTTAGGTAGTCTTCGAATAACTCACGTGAACACTCTAAGCCATCGTCACGTAGAATCCGGAGTTTAGATGTTTGTGACAAGGGTAGGTAGCCAGGTGTATTTGCACAATACTGCAGTATTCGACTCCTTGATTTTGGTGGACGGGTGGGCCTTCTCTCCAAAAAGCAAAACCGCTATCGAATTGCCTTTGAGAGTGAGGCGTGAAAAGCAGTAAATTTAGTAACGGGCGAGGTCACGTAGGGAGGACATGTGTTTGAAGGCAGTGAATGGCACGTACGTGTAATGGGACAGCTACAGAAATCCAGAGTCGAGGAGAGATGAGTATAATGGTGACGTAGAGAGGGTAAGTAGAATGTAAACTCCTTAGGGGCAGAGATATTTTTCGTCGATTTTGTTCTTCTCTGTATCCCCAGCCCTGCCACGCGCCCGGCGCCCCACTTCATGACCGTGCGATCTTGGGCAACTGGGTTAGCTTGGCTTTAGTCTCCCCATCTGCAAAGCGAACGAAAGAATGAGAACATGACGGGAGAAAGTGAGCAAGAAAATCAGAGGTGATTCGAACTTTCCGAAGGACGTAGGCGCGACGGGAAGAGGTTAGGACGAGTTGTCATTAACGAAGCACGGATTTCCTATTCCGGTAGGAAGGAGAAGGAGAATGAACTATAAAATCATATTTTAGTATAAAAAGCATTAAAAAAGAAAAATGCACGACCAGACACAGTCTTTTTCCATTATATAAAATTGCTATTCCTTCAAACATTTCCTCTTAACCGTCACTTGATTTGAGTATTAGAGTTTTGCTCAAATAAGAATATTTTATAGTTGGGATAACTTTATAGTTTTCAAAAACCCGGCTGCTACTGTTTTGGCCTAAACTTTTAAATGCGAATGTAGATTAAGTATGTTTAAACAGATGGTTTCCTTCTGCTTTTCATTACATTTATTTTCATTCCGTGAAGAATTTATTAGATTCCCATTGGCAGCAATTTATTCTGTATACCTACAGTTATTTATAGTGCTTGATTTTCTGAATTAAATATCTGTTTAGTTAAAAATCGAATGAAGTTGCTAATCTCTATTTCTTAGATTGTATGCATTAGTATATATTTTTGGCGACCCAGATGTGCCCCCCAATAATTCGCATCAAACTCCAGTTGAAGCGATAGAACTTTTACATAAAAATGAGCACAATCTGGCCAAGAGATAGACTAGACTAAATGGGAGCGATGACATGTCCACGTGCCACTATGAGACCTTCGCTTGTAAAGCTGTGTCACTTAGAATTGTGCTGTTTTTCATTGTAATTCTCACACTAGATGGACCCCAACACTGCTGTCTCCTTGGGCATCTGATCGTGTGTTTTTGCCCCTCAACATCCATGTCTGGTCAGTTGCTTCCAACATCGCTTAGTTTCATTAGCTTTTATCAACTTCCTCTAGTAAATGTAGTTTCACTTTAAGAACAAGGAGTCACTGAGGTTTCATGTCACGGAGGGAGAAAGAACTTTGGTTCCCAACAAAATGTACCTGCGGGTGCAGAGAGAGGTGATCATTTGTCGAATTTTTATCAAGCATCTTATCTTTCTAACATTTTCTACCCGAATCGGTTCCCTCGGTCTGCGGAAGTCGCAGACTGAAACGGGAGGGAGGGGCTTCTGCCTCAGTTGGAAACGCCCCCTCGGATGTCTGACAGTTAACGAGTATTGGCAAAAGCAAATTCCTTATGGTTCCACCTAAATGCGACACTTCGGCTCTATTACTTTTAATAATTCGTTCTAGTTGCTAAGGTCAGAAGCTGGGGCGGAGGGTTAGTATGTTTACTTCCTCCCGTCACCCCGCCCATATCCAAAAAGTTGCCAAGCCCTGTAGAGCTACCTCCTTTCCTGATAGACCCTGATGAACAGAGGGGACCCTCTGCCCAGTGATGGCCATTGGCAGGAATGTGTCACTCAGCTTATCCTCTTGAAATCATCCTCTCAGAGACCATCAGTTGATCAGATTATGCTGTGCCTTATTAGCGAATAATTCACCACGTTAATGATGACCTAAGGGCATAGGGAAGTGTCCCTATGCAGCCAGCCGTCCTCAACCTTTGTGGCACCAGGGACCGTGCTCCTATGAGCATCTAATGCCCGATGATCTGAGGCGGAGCTGAGGCGGTGATGCTGGCGCTGGGGAGCGGCTGCAGATACAGATGAAGCTTCGCTGGCTCACCCGCCGCTCACCTCCTGCTCTGTGACCCGGTTCCTGACAGGCCACAGACGGGTACCGGTCCACGGCCCGGGGGTGGGGAACCCCTGCTGTATAGCATTTACTAAAGTGCTTTGAGCTCTGGCTCCGTCCACTAAAATAAGTCACCCTTGTGTTTGAGAAAGTATCGTCTTTATTTTTCTCAACGGTGACAGAAGGACACTCCTTTTTCTTAAGGTTTTAAATGAGCTGTTTTAAAAGTCATCCCTGTTGAGATGGAGACGCTGAGCCGATCAGCTGCCTTTCAAAGCTGCACCTGTGCCTTCAGCCCATCCGTTTATTCCAAAGGGGTGGAAAGGGTTAACACGCTGTAAAGATGCCCCGTTTACAGCCAGGAGAACTTGACACGTGTCCCTCCAGTCCAGATATGTAAGATTAATAAATCCGTGGCCTGTAATTATTAAGTAGAAGTATTTGAATGCCTCCTAGTGGTATATTGTATGTTCTAATTAAGAAATTTCAGAAATAATATTTATTGAGGGAATACTGTAGATAAACCGTCAAAGCTCATGAGTAGGAAGTGCTCAAACCTGTCAGAGATGCCGCTGTAACTGGAATCAAAGTACATCGTTTTCTATTCGTAATTGATTAAAAACCTAACAGGAAAATATATAATATACGTGATAATGATGAATATACTTTTAATCAGAATTTGTATGTTTTTGGCTCAGATTAGATTATTTTAATTGATTTTTTTAATTTAGTGGAAGTTTTGCACTTAAATATAGACAGATATTGCTGTTAAGAGTGAATTGCTTCGTGTACATTTATTTTTATAAATTAATTCTTATGTATGTCAATTTCTTTATATAACAATAAAAATGATGGTTTATAGAAAGTCTGGTTCATATTCGGACAGTTTTACTTTGAAATTCTGATTTTCCAGTTGAGTAAAATGATTTTGTTAACGTTGAAATGAAGACTGTAGCAAAACTTTAAAATGACGAAGAATGCTGATTTAATTATTGCTTTAAACACTGCAGGGCGACTTTACACTTCCAGCAGTCTATTTGAAAACGAACCGAAAGCCACGTGGAAAGAATTCTGATGAGGCTCAGAGGAGGGAGGGGCAGACAAGTGATGCTATCCCTTTGTGAAGCATTAAAAATATTTAATTAACCGCTTGCCAAAACAAAAACAATTAAAATGGCAATTACCTTTAAAATGGCGACGATATCATTGCAGCTGTTGTGATGTAAAGCGGGGAACCAAAATGTTAATCGGAAATGAACAGCCTAAATCTGGAATTATGATATACTTGGCTTCCCGTCGTACAGCTGTCAAGCTTGGGCAGCTCGCTGGTCGATAGTGACATTCTCTGTGTCAGTGAGCAGAGTCTCTGGGTACTGTGACCCGCAGTTCACACGTTACAGAAGTTCCAACTGTCGAACGTTCAAGTCCCCTGGTATCGCCGCCCTCCCCGGCGCGCTGACGGGCTCATGTTTCGTTCTCGGGCAATTTGCCCCGATCATATCCCCAGGAGCTTTCGGCCCCCCGCCCCGCCGGATGCAATCGCGGCGCAGTGATCTGAGCAGGCGCTGGGCGCGCCGCACAAATTGTCATTTCCTACCGTGTCTTCAGCGACGCTCACCTCGTTTTTCCGTTTGGCTTTTATTTATGCTCCGAGCGTGGCCCCCGAACACGGTGTTTTCAGGTCACTGTGTGTGTGACGGGCCCAAGAACCTGCGTTGGCGGTTTTCGCGGGTTTCAGAGGGATCGGGGAGCAGCACACCTGTTCCCCGCGGAACTGCTCAAGGCGATGGGATCGAGGCCACCCGATAAGTTGCTTTCTGATCATCATCGATCTTCGGTAGCTCGAAGGTGCCGCGTGGCGCGGTCGGCCGGCGGCTGCTCACCGCTGTCCTCTTTCCCGTTTCAGCTGACCGCCTGCGTGCACGGCTCGGTGGCCCTGCTGTACCCCATGTTCTGGCAGCACATCTACATCCCCGTGCTCCCGCCGCACCTGCTGGACTACTGCTGGTAAGCCGACCCCAGCTCCGCCCCTTCACGCGAGGCCAGGTGGGCCTGGCGGCTGCGTACCTGCAGCCCTAGAGGTCGCGCGTGTGGCAGGGCGCCTCTGTGAAGGGCCCGGTCGTACTTTCCAGGTGTCGCAAAAGCCTGTTGCCAGGCAAACAGGTGCTTTAGCTCCCGAGAGTGTCCTCTGCAGTCATCGGAGCGTTAAACGCGTAAACAAACACTTTCTGGTCTCAGTCAAAGTCTCGACCTCGATCCGCCTGAACAGCAGTGTGGACGGTGTCGGGGCGATTCTGAAACGCTCCTGGCTTCCGGTCAGCTCCCGGGGACCCGCCCGCCACACCCGGCGACACCGCCAGAGCCCGAAGAGTCTGTGTGCGGGGAGCAGGGCGGGACGCAGGTGGGACCTGCATGAGGCCGCGGACTAAAGCGTCACTTTACTGCCCTGTCGCCTTCTGCAGCCATAGCTTGTTCTCCAGAGATCCGATGAGGTTTTCTGTTCAACCATGGAGGAGCACACACACATGTGCACACGCGCACACGCACGCACACCATGCAGGAGCACACATGCACACACGTGCACGCGCACATAACGCACACATGCACGCATGCGCGCACACGTGCACACACCATGCAAGAGCACACACGCGCGCGTGCACATGCACACTGCACACCGTGCAAGAGCACACACGATCTGAGCAGGCGCTGGGCGCGCCGCACAAATTGTCATTTCCTACCGTGTCTTCAGCGACGCTCACCTCGTTTTTCCGTTTGGCTTTTATTTATGCTCCGAGCGTGGCCCCCGAACACGGTGTTTTCAGGTCACTGTGTGTGTGACGGGCCCAAGAACCTGCGTTGGCGGTTTTCGCGGGTTTCAGAGGGATCGGGGAGCAGCACACCTGTTCCCCGCGGAACTGCTCAAGGCGATGGGATCGAGGCCACCCGATAAGTTGCTTTCTGATCATCATCGATCTTCGGTAGCTCGAAGGTGCCGCGTGGCGCGGTCGGCCGGCGGCTGCTCACCGCTGTCCTCTTTCCCGTTTCAGCTGACCGCCTGCGTGCACGGCTCGGTGGCCCTGCTGTACCCCATGTTCTGGCAGCACATCTACATCCCCGTGCTCCCGCCGCACCTGCTGGACTACTGCTGGTAAGCCGACCCCAGCTCCGCCCCTTCACGCGAGGCCAGGTGGGCCTGGCGGCTGCGTACCTGCAGCCTTAGAGGTCGCGCGTGTGGCAGGGCGCCTCTGTGAAGGGCCCGGTCGTACTTTCCAGGTGTCGCAAAAGCCTGTTGCCAGGCAAACAGGTGCTTTAGCTCCCGAGAGTGTCCTCTGCAGTCATCGGAGAGTTAAACGCGTAAACAAACAAAGCCATAAACAAAGCCATCCCGGATGCGCTGAGCACAGGTGTCGGGAAGCCGGTGGCCCCGGGTGGTCCCCATCGGGACAGGCTCCCGCCGCCCCTTCCCGCAGAAGCGCGCCGCACCCCAGGGACCAGCGGGGGTGCCTCTAGCACGGGGTCCCGGCCTTTCTGGTCTCAGTCAAAGTCTCGACCTCGATCCGCCTGAACAGCAGTGTGGACGGTGTCGGGCGATTCTGAAACGCTCCTGGCTTCCGGTCAGCTCCCGGGGACCCGCCCGCCACACCCGGCGACACCGCCAGAGCCCGAAGAGTCTGTGTGCGGGGAGCAGGGCGGGACGCAGGTGGGACCTGCATGAGGCCGCGGACTAAAGCGTCACTTTACTGCCCTGTCGCCTTCTGCAGCCATAGCTTGTTCTCCAGAGATCCGATGAGGTTTTCTGTTCAACCATGGAGGAGCACACACACATGTGCACACGCGCACACGCACGCACACCATGCAGGAGCACACATGCACACACGTGCACGCGCACATAACGCACACATGCACGCATGCGCGCACACGTGCACACACCATGCAAGAGCACACACGCGCGCGTGCACATGCACACTGCACACCGTGCAAGAGCACACACGTACACACATGCGTGCACACACACATGCACACACTTGCACACACATGTGCACATGCACACGCAAACGTGCACAAATGTGCACGCGCGCACGCACATGGAATAGCTTTGACCGTAATGTGTTCATTTCTATCACCGCCGACGTGATTAAGAGCGAAGCTCTTAGAATCCAAGTCTCGAACCTTCCTGTCGACGTGCTCACGGTTAGAACAATCCCATCCGCACGCCCAGGCTTTCCATTCAGCTTTTATGACCGGCCCTCTTCGGAACAACCAGTGGCGATGGCAACACACACATTCGGCTGCAGGTCGATGGCACCGCGGGCCGTGAGCTTCCACCGCGCGGTAGTATGAGCGTCAGCAGTTCCGTGACGTGGGCTCGGTGACCGCCACGTCCCTCTGCCCTTGGAGCCCTGGAGCGGAGGCGGGCAGGTGGGCGATGAGGCGTGCGGGTTGACTGTGCTTGTGAAGGGCCACGCCACAAGCCGGCGGGATGGTGGCGTCTGCGAGCATCCTGCGGGCCCTCACGTTAGAGTGACATTCTCTGCCCGCCACGCGGAGGAGCCGTCCGCGTCCACGAAGGCGGGAACTGCCGACTGTTCGCGGTGACATTCACAGTGGGTCTCTGCGCATCGTGTCCAGTAATTAAAACTCATTGAAAACCTTTTTTTACGAAAGTATTTGAAAACATATTGACACATGGTTTTTAAAAATGCATGTCAAGAGCTAACACTTCTAATTACGAGGTTTAGAATTATATCGTATCATATATAATTTTAGTGGCATTTTAATTTTTCTGTTAAAATATTCTGACCTCTTGGGTAACATCCCTTTAAATGCAAGTCTCTGTAACGATGACATGTTTAAGACTTTCTACAACACTGCCATTTAGAAACAGTTCTATGACCAGACGGTTCTGCGCTAATTCTTTCCAGAGATTTCTGCCTGGTTCTCTGGCCCGGCCACCAGCTCCTTCTTTGTGCTGCTTCCGCTCTGACGCCGGAAGCTGGTATTTTATTTCAGCTCCCACAGTTTCTAACCTCTGCCGCAGCCTTCAGGGCAAGCTCTGACAGCCTCCATGCCAGACGCGTCCCTGGCCCAGAGGGCACAGCAGTGATAATCAAACCCTCGTGCCCGTGGGTCACAGAGACAGCTTTAGCCGCCATCGGAGGACTTGGCCGGGGGGATAGGATTGTTGTTGTTATTATTATTATTATTTTTTTTAAATAGTCGTCTAAGATTCTACCTCTCCTCCATTGTCAGAAAAGTCTATGGAGTAAACCATTTCCCTTTGTTTGCATCCTTGCAAATGATTCTAAAGTGACTCCGATCCGCATGCAAAAGAGAGAAGAATATTAGAGCCATCCCTTCATTCTCATGGTTTTGAATAAAGAAATTTTGAAATTCCACTTTGAAAACAGCACCGGGAAGTTTCCGTAGTGGTGCGCGTGTAGTCGCCAGCTCCTCGTGACCATGGGTGACTGTCACATCTCGGTCCACTGATAGAGGCTTGCTCACCTGTTGGCTTGTCCACGCATAAATCCATCCACCCATTTGTACATCAAACATTTAGTGAAACCCTTGCCGGCCAGGTATGTGATGTAATGAGTTAGTCTTTGTTTCTGCCTTTGTAGGATCCACAGACAGGAGGAAATTTACCCCCCACACACACACGTGTGCGCACACACACACACACACACCTTGGGAACAACCAGTGGCGATGGCAACACACGCATTCGTCCGCAGGTGGATGGCACCGCGCGCGTGAGCTTCCACCGCGCCGTAGTATGAGTGTCAGCAGTGCCGTGACGTGGGCTCGGTGACCGCCACTGTCCCTCTGCCCTTGGAGCCCTGCAGCGGAGGCGGGCAGGTGGGCGACGAGGCGTACGGGTTGACTGTGCTTGTGAAGGGCCACACCACAAGCCGGCGGGACGGTGGCGTCTGCGAGCATCCTGCGGGCCTTCGCGTTAGAGTGACGTTCTCTGCCCGCCACTGTTAACCCCTCCTAGTGTCTAAACACTTAGATGGTGGTGTGACTCTGGTACCAGTAAAATTATAATCGCTCGCTACTTGTTCAAGAATGATCCATTTTCTTCTTAATTTAGGTTGTATGTCTGCTACTTCTTTCCATGTCACGGCGTCCGTTCGTTCGAGAAGCCGGTGGCCCCGGGTGGTCCCCATCGGGACAGGCTCCCGCCGCCCCTTCCCGCAGAAGCGCGCCGCACCCCAGGGACCAGCGGGGGTGCCTCTAGCACGGGGTCCCGGCCTTTCTGGTCTCAGTCAAAGTCTCGACCTCGATCCGCCTGAACAGCAGTGTGGACGGTGTCGGGCGATTCTGAAACGCTCCTGGCTTCCGGTCAGCTCCCGGGGACCCGCCCGCCACACCCGGTGACACCGCCAGAGCCCGAAGAGTCTGTGTGCGGGGAGCAGGGCGGGACGCAGGTGGGACCTGCATGAGGCCGCGGACTAAAGCGTCATTTCACTGCCCTGTCGCCTTCTGCAGCCATAGCTTGTTCTCCAGAGATCCGATGAGGTTTTCTGTTCAACCATGGAGGAGCACACGCACATGTGCACACGTGCACACGCACGCACACCATGCAGGAGCACACATGCACACGCGTGCACACAACGCACACATGTACACACATGCACGCATGCGCACACACGTGCACACATGCATACACCATGCAAGAGCACACACACACGCGCGCACATGCACACTGCACACCGTGCAAGAGCACACACGTACATACATGCGCACACGCACACATGCACACACTTGCACACACACGTGTGCACATGCACACGCAAACGTGCACACATGTGCACGCGCCCACGTGCATGGAATAGCTTTGACCGTAATGTGTTCATTTATATCACCGCCGACGTGATTAAGAGCGAAGCTCTTAGAATCCAAGTCTCGAACCTTCCTGTCGACGTGCTCACGGTTAGAACAATCCCATCCGCACGCCCAGGCTTTCCATTCAGCTTTTATGACCGGCCCTCTTCGGAACAACCAG